CCCCAGCGCGCTCGCCACTCAGCTGTCGCCTGCTCTTGTGGACGAAAATGTCAGAACTCGGTCCTGCTTTACAAGTCTTGGTCTCCGGTATTGCACGCGTTCAGGTCGGATGAAGTCCACCTCCTCGACGCGCTGCAGCCCGGGTCGAATTTTGGCCAAAAACACGGAACAAGTCACATAAATGGACCTAACCTAACCCCCGCGCATCCAAGGGGCTCTTTTAGTGGCCATTTTCCGCTTTTCAAGCCAAAAGCCGACCCGGGCTGCAGCGCGTCGAAGAGGTGGACTTGACCCGGCCTGAACGCGTGCAATCCGGGAGACCAAGACTTGTAAACCAGGACCGAGTTCTGAACTCTCTGCTGACAAGTGGAGCCAACAGCCGAGTGGCGAGCGCGCTGGGGCGTGGTTCACAAGACACCTACGGCCCAGGGATCGAGTCCTGGTAGGGGCGAACACTTCGTTTTTTGTTGTTGTTTTTTTGCATTGGGGGAGGGGGGGGGGCTGAGTAGGCGGTCAAGTCTACCTCCCCATGTCGGCTGGTCTTTTGTCCTAACCCTTGGTCCCCGCGCCGCAAACTATTAAATTGGAAAAAACGAGCCTCGGTCAGTATTCGAACCGACAACCATCGGCGTCCCGGGCGCGCGCTCTACTATCTGAGCCAACGATGCGGCTACTACATAGGTGAAGCTTATCTCCAACGTGTCTCACACCCCGAAACATATGGCTGGCAGAGGGGCAAAAGGGTTCCGTCGACCAGATTCGAACCAGCGACTGTTTGCGTACCGGCCCATCACATCAGGTGTCGCACGGCTGTAAAGTCATGGCTAGCGGAGCGCGAAAAATATCACCCAGCCGGGATTCGAACCAGCAACCAGGTACACACCGGGCCCGGATGCTACCGACTTGGCCACGACGGAACGATAAAGAGCATCACTGCGACAACACAACGACTGACGCCCGAAGACACTTGGCCAGCAGAGCAGGAAAAATGATCGCGTCTATAGACGGTTCGGTTTAAGCTGACTCAGTCATTGTCGGCTGTAGCTACAATCGTGAAGCTACAAACAGGGACGTCAACCTGGCCCCACCCATCAGTGAGAAAAGTTGTCAAATGATGGGATTTAGTAATAAATTCTAGACTTGATGCGTGGTTGCCCAATTTACAAAACACATTTAATTATTATAATTTTTCCATAGGTAAGAAAGTATTCAAAATATACATACACCAGATTATTGATTGAAAATCAAATTTCCCTGTCAGCAATAAATGTTATTATTACATTGAGCAGGTGTGCGGTATACTCCGCACATCTTACGTAAACAGATCAAAAATTGACCCAAACACCTGTTTTATAGTAAGTTAAATCATTTTGAAACCCTTTTTTGCTAGGGATTATAGGAACAATTAATCTACTCTACAACAGTTTAACAAACGATGCAGAAATATTCTATCGCACCCTCACATGGCCTCTTTTTACACAGAATCTGAGATCAATAGTGGAGGATATAAATGCCAACCTCTTCTGTCATTTTCGATGCTCTCGAGTTTCCCTCCGATTTCACCGACAAAACCATGTTCTAGGGACGTACAACCCCTCAGCACACAGTCAATGGCAGTAGTTGCACTTGGGGTGGCACTTGACGCCGTTGACGCCGCACTGGCAGCCGCCGGTGGTGTCACCCTTCCCCTGCAAGCACAGAGAGAAGGACATCCGTCAACACGCGCTGCTCGTCCTAAGCCTTTGGCAGCGGCCGCGCCATGCTCTCGCCGCGCTACGCTACGCCACGCCACGCACCCCCGGCCCCCAGCGGGGTTTCCTGGTCACCCAGCAGATCTCGGTCTTGCACATGCTGCAGCGCAGCCAGTCGCAGCCCCACTTCTTCATGAGCACGACCTGGCAGGACGGGCAGCTCATGGCCTCACCGCGAGCCACCATCTCCTCCAGCATGGCCTGCGTGCGGCGCGCGTCCTCGTTGGAGCCGTCGGCCGCCTCGCGCTGCAGCCGCGCCTGGTACTCGGCGCAGTTGTTGTCGGCGTGGATGGCCTGTGGAGTGCACACCCAAATCAGACAGGCAGCTCCAAAACCCAAAGCGCGCAAAAACTCTCCAGTCTACCCGAAACAATATGACTTTCACCCTGACTCTTTCCTTACTCCACTCTTCTCGTGAGACGGCTCTTACCTGGCAGGTGAGGCAGTTGGTAGCTCGACAGACCGGGCACCGGAACTCGTTGACGTTGTCCTCGAAGACGCACCAGCCGGTGCAGTCCGGCGTCTTGCAGTGGAAGGCCTTGTCCATCTTGCGCTCCGCCTGCGTCATGGACTTGGCGAGGTGCTGCTCGTACAGGGCGGCCGGCACAAGCTGCAGCACGAGAGGAGGACGCTGGTCAGCATGCGCCATCTAACCCCTCACGGCGGACACTCACCTACAGCGAGTCCACCCCATCTAATCACACGCTCTCCCAAAGACCAGGCGGATCCCCCCTGCGGTTCTCCGGGTAGGCCACCCACCATGGACACCTGCGCTGCATTGCCTGACTACTAGGCGGACCCCTGCCGGACTCCGGGTAGGCCACCCGCCAT